GACATTTATATCAGATACAAAGGGAAGTAGGAACAGGAAGCACGTGGGGGAGTAGTAGAAGAGAACAGAGCATTAACAGCAGAATAAAATTGGGACACTCTGGTGGAACTCATCACTGCATCTGATTGGAAAACATCCAAATGGCAATTGTGATGGTTGCCAACAACCAGAGACAATACATCATGTATTTTTTAGCTGCCCGGATTATAACAGACAAAGATTCATTCTGAAAACTGCACTGGAACAACTCAACATCAAGGACATGGATTTCAAGGCAATATATGAAAGTAAATCAAGAAATTAAGCAAACAAGCTGATCTTCAAATTCCTCAAAAGCACTGGTCTGAGGATAAGGATTTAATATGAACATGTAATAACTCAACAGTAGGTGGGGATATATGCTCCAAGTGGAAGCGATTCGCCATTAAAGAAAAGAAGAAGAAGAAGAAGAAGAAGAAGAAGAGATCCTGGTGGTGCTGGTGACTGTGCGCACAGGAGCAGCATATTGAGGCTGTGTCATATCATATGTGTATGATTTAATGAATGCCCACACCGGGTTGTATTTTTGGACGTTCTGCCTCTGCCTCCTTGCTTGGTCGGGCCGCTTAATTGTCAGCTTCACAATAACTAACAAATTTGACGAGACACAACAGTTAGTTAATTGAATATATCTTTCATTTCTGCTTGAAAATAACTCAACCTAAAGCTACTTCTTCTAACATTAACTTGTTCATAATAACTCATTACTTTGGTTGATGATTGCTCTGTATAAGGTCAATCACCTAAATCACATTTTTATCTGTCTCTGTCCCCAGTTGGCCAAGCGCTATGGTAACGTATACAGCATTTTCATTGGTAAGCGACCAGCTGTGGTCATCAACGGGCTGCAGGCTTTGAAAGAAGCCCTGGTCACCAAAGCGGCGGACTTCTCTGGCAGATCACAAGACCTAATGGTTAATCATGTTGTACTTGTGAAAGGTACATAACAAGGATTAGCCTTTTTCCATGCAGTGATTTTTCATTTGTATGCCATACACCATAACATCTAAATAGAAAGTGTGGAGATATAATTGTTTTTTCAGAGAAATAGTTATCAACCAATAACTTAACACTCTAAAACTGCCTACATGTCAAGAGTTAAAGGCCTCATAATGGCACCACCTGTTGGCAGCAGTGGTATTATAGCAAAGTATCAAGTAGAAGGAGTTATTGACTGATATATTATATAAGATTATCTGATTGCATCATTATATAATAATAATAATTCCATACTGATGCATAAAACATTTAAGCAGCCTTTTATGCTTGCAGCTGGTTAAGGTGGAAATAGTTTTAATTACCTTGTATACAGTAAGGTAGTATAATCCAGAGGTTACCAACATGGGGTCGGGTTCTACTTTCCACTGCTGGGTAGAATAATTAAACTGTGACAAACACCAATTCATGCTGAGAAGAAACAAACAAACAAACATGTAAACCATTAGTATATTCAATGTCGATGATGGTGATCCAATAAGCAGCTCAATAAGCTAATATTGAAAATATAACGTATCACTGAAATTGTATTCACTGTATTTAAAAAGGCTATTTGAAAGTGAATGCAAGTACTAATTTTACATTTTTGCATATAGCTAATGCTCAAGGAGTAATTCTAGCAGATTATAATGCTGCCTGGAAAGAGCAACGTCGTTTTGGTCTGATGACCCTGAGAAACTTTGGTCTGGGGAAGCAGACGATGGAGCAGAACATTCTGAGAGAGACAGATTGTATTACACAGCTGATCGAGCAGAGTGTTGGTATGTCCAATTGTCAACTCACAGTACACAGAGGTTGCTTGTTGCATAACTAAACATATAAGTGAGAATGACATCAGGGTCTAGACATCTTTTGAACTCTGTGCTGTGAACCATACTCTTATTTTATTCTCTTACCGCATTTTTTAAAATCATATTATCTGATATTTAGAACATTAGAAGTGTTTTTATTATAATATAATACATTATTATAGTGTCTTCACTTTTGTCAAGATCAAGTCCAAGAATAATTTTTCATCTGCACTTTCCAGGTAAAATTATGAATCCTCAGCTGCTGTTCCACAATGCGGCCTCCAACATCATTTGCCAAGTTCTTTTTGCAAGGCACTTTGACTATGAGGATGAGTTCATGAAGTTTTTTGTTGGCCTTTTTCAAGAGACCTCCAAAATATTCAATGGGCGCTGGGGTATGGTGAGTCACATTTTTGACAACAAAACCACTCAATAGAAAGACAATGAGTCGATGTGCTTGAGATCTTTTTTAAGTAAACATACCCTAAAAAGGGTCCTGAATGATGACTTTAAGCTAAGGGAATCTAAACTTTTTGAAATAATTTTTGTTTTTCTTCATACAGATCTATGACTCTATTCCAATTGTGCGGAACCTGCCACTGCCCTTCCGGAAGGCATTTGAGTTGTTTAAGGTATTTTTTAAATAGGTTTGTTGACAGACAGCCAAAAAACATGTTTTATTACAATGATAATGGCTTGGAGTGCAATCCTTGGAGTTGATGAGTACCTATTATAGTCCACAGTACAGCTGAGGCTAATAGAAATGGCTTGTAAGTATCTCTTTATGGCCTTATGCAAAGTCAAAGCCCAGTATAACTTATTACAATTCATCAATATGTGAACATCAATATCTGTTCACAATTGGGTTGCGTTATCTATTAATTATTATAAACAGTAACAACCTTACACGGTGTTCAATCAGATTATTATGCTACTGAACATGATATGCTAGGAAATTGCTTTTTCTTCATTTTTGGGCTACTAAATGGGACTGTAGGTTCCTGTTAATAGGTTAAATCGTCAGTAAAGCCTACAAGACAAGAGATGTAGACCTGAAATTCAGAACATTGTTTTGTTTTCAACTTGAACATTTATATGCCCTTAATAAACCTTTAATTATCTTCTTTTTTTTGTTCTAAAACTTGGTGAACTTGGTTATTCCACCTCAACTATTTTGTTTATCAGGTCGCACATGAGAGACGTTTGGTGATGGTGGCTGAGAACAAAAAGACCAGAATTCCTGGTAAACCGCGGCATTTCATAGACGCTTACCTGGATGAACTGGATAAGGTGTGTGGTTCTTTTCTGTTCATTGGAAGAATTCTGTCCTGAACACCTGGTATAAACTGACATGTTGTTGACCACCAAGACATTTGAGCTTTGAGGAGGTGACAAAATGAACAATATCTACTCACTCTTTCTTTCTCTTGTCAACCTGCATAGAGAGGAGACGATGGCTCGTCATTTTCTGAGGACCAGCTTTGTGCATTTATTTTGGATCTGCACTTTGCTGGGACAGACACGACTGCCAACACCCTGCTGACTGCCTTCCTCTACCTAATGAATTATCCCAAGATACAGGGTATGGCTCTCTATCATCTGTATGTCTCCACTTTATTTATTCATACTAGAGGCATGGCTAAAGGGATAAAAATGTCAGTCTGTCAGTTGGTCGAGACTCAAAAAATAATTAATTGATTACTGATCGCCAATACATAGGCCTTTGTGGTCCTGGAAATATATGGACACCTATTGAATGAATTGTCATCAAATGTGGTACATGGCTTTCTTTATAACATTGCAAAAGGGTCCCACAATAGTAGGCTAGATTAAACATGTGACCGTTAATCACATGACTGTTCTATTTAACATTGAAAACACAACTGCTTAGTTAGGTTAGAGCAAAAAAAGAAATTGGTAAGGTTTAAAAGCTCATGGTTTGGAGCACTATAATTATTGCCTACTTAAGTGACGTAGAACGAAAAGTGGTACAATACTTAGGCCCCGGCCCCACGAGGACGAAAACGGTCGTTTGCGTTACTGTTTAGTGTCATATAGACCGTTCGGACACACGAGGACGACCGAATAAGACAGTAAACAGCTGTGGAAACGATAACGGGTCCCAAGGTGGATCGAACGGCATACGCAACGCTCTGGGGGGTCCAACGGCTCCGTGTGTGCGCCCTATACGATCATTTTCTGATAATAATGACGCAATAGCCCCGCCTCTCCCCACCTCTGCTGCTCACCCCCGCGTCAAAGTAAACTGCAAACTGAATTCAGATTATTTATCTTTCTCTCGATATGGACATAAACGGGAGTGAAGTCTAATCTGACAGGACGGAGACACACAGCTCTGCTCACCTGCAGCTCCTCCCGCTGTGATGGCAGCGGTGAACGGAGCAAAACACACACTTCAAGTCAGATCATCACCCTTAGCTATTTTAATTACCTCTCAAACTCCGTAAACTAGTTATAAATATGTTTATTTTTTACTGTTGGCCGGGTCACTCATTACTGGACCAGCTGCTGCATGAGACAGACACTGACGCTGTCCGAAGAGAGGGAGGAAAAAGAGATGTATTTTATTATTATATTATATAGATTCGTTATTCATTTGTTTTAAAGATCAATAAATAACAAAGAAGACCTTTGACCGGAGTTTTTATAATTTTGTCCGGAAGATTTAAACTTTAATACACATTGACCGGTTCCCTCGGGTTATGGCTAGAAAGGATCCGTCTTGTGTAAATATGACGTCACGTTCTCGTTGTAACTCTCGTTGTAATCGGAGCGGCTCGGAAACACATCTACAGCAGTAACACGATCATAGCCGTGGGAACATGTTTCAAATGGGGGGTGCTGTGGGGATGACATCAGGGCCGGTTTTGACCAATTTGCAGCCCTAGGCAAGATTTTAGCTGG